AAACCAACACGCCTGCATATGTATATACGCCTGTATATTTATGTACTTATAACCAGCGATACCCTCAGTTTATTACCTACGAAACGAAACATTTATGTATGAGTACTTATATTTTTATTTATTCAATTAAAAGTTTTTTTTCGAGTTTTGCCACTATCGGTACCTAGTACATACGTATTGTCTTGACCCAAAAATTGCATATAAAAATTCCAAACAAGCTATCAATGTCTTCGCAATAAATATTTCATAAAAAATAGGAATGTTTCGGAGTCTTTCAAAGCCCTTGCACGGTGCACAAATTGCACGATAAAAACCGCTTTTCCTATGGGACAGCTTTGCAAACCGTGCACCGTACAAGGGCTTTGCAAGACTGCAAGAATACCCCTTATATATTTCGGAAGACATTTCCGGCGATAAGGAGTGTATGTGTTCTGCTCTTGACCATAGATGTCCTATGCACCTCTCCCTTCCCCGTGAAATGGTCTCACACTCTAAGGGAAGGTGCGATGTGGTATTTTTGGCTGAGTGACAAAACCAACTTAGATTGTTTTGTACTGCTGGCATCTTAGCATGCAATCACCTGCCAAAAAAAACTGTAATAATTCTTAGCCTAGCTAGGGTAGGTTTATGAGTAACCTGTACCTTGGTACTTGACCTCGAAAGTTGAGAGAGCAATGAGTGGCTATGTTTTAATATAAGGACCCACTCACTTCGATAATTCCTACAAAGGCTAATCTCTGCGCAGTGGCAAATGACATAGACTTCGCTTCGAAGATGCTTGGGAAGGTTCACAAGTGCACTGATAGCTTCTATTTAGGGTCATATATACCTCCTTCAATACCCTCGAATTTACATACATATGTATGTATGTATTCCTATATTCGTAAATCGCAAAATGTTCAACTGAGTTGCTGTGGAAACGATGAAATGAAATTGTAAAAGTTTCAGGGAACCAAAAATTTGCCAAGTCCAAAAATAGCACCGAAAATCTCTTCTATAAAATTAAAAAAAAAACGAACTTATGGTGATCGAACACAAAAAGAGAAAGGGGCAATCAAAAGGCGACATTTTTTGGTAGAAACGAAATCACCATTAAAAAGTTTTCACTCTTAGCTTACGATATATCCTTTATCCTTCTTTATAAGTAGATATTTATAAGTTAAGAGGATTTTTTTTTAAGTCTAATATAAGCATAAATAAATAACTAAATAAATAAAATTCTGATGAAATAAACATAAAATTAATTAAAGTTGCTCACCTTTGAAAGAATATAGTTTTTTTAGCAATCGCTACCGCCCGTTAGCTTATCATCAAATCTAACTACATACATACTTATGTAAATACACATGTGTGCCATTATAGGAAGTTTTATATTTGCACATGGCCTGGTTGGTTGTCGCATTCTGTCTAGTTAGAATAATCCCTAAATGATTGATATAAATTTAAGCAAAGGGAGAAGTGAGTTCTTGGTTTTGTGTGTATTAATTACACTGTACACCTATATTACAGGTGCTATAACGGGTCAATGGTCAGATTTTCGAAAAATTATAAACTTAATATTTCAGAAAATTTTGAACTGATTTTTAAAAGATTCATATCGTTGTATAAGTGATTAACCCCCCCTTTCTTGTGATATGCATATTTGTATACTTTGTATATAAAAATTTGAGAAACAACACATTTAAAGGAAAAAATACCTTTTTTGTATAAAAAAAAATATTTTAAACAACAAAATTACTAACCGCTTTTTTAAAAAATCCATATCGTTGTAAATTTGAGAAAAAAAACACAAGGAAAAAATAACTTTGTTTATCAAAAAATATTTTAAACAAAAAAATTACTCACCAATTTTTAAAAAATTGGCATCGTTGTTAAGACGATTAAACCGCCTTTCGTCTAATATGCATATTTGTGTACTTCGTATATAAAAATTTGAGAAAAAGCAATTAAAAGGAAAAAATACAAATTTTTTCTTATAAAACAAAAATTCTACAAAAAGAATACTAATTAGTAATACAATTGAATACCGTATTTAAATAAAGCAAACAATTAGTAGTGTTTTAAGCGTTAATTCGCTCTTGTTTACCCACAAGCCCTGTTAAAAATAAAGCAAAGGTATATGTAACAGAAGTTTAAGGCATATAAAAATATAAAAACAACATGGTTTTGGTAATTTTTATTTAAATAAAGTGTTCAATTGTATTTCTAATTAATATTTTTTTAGTTTAAAATATTTTTTATAAAAAAAATTGGTATTTTTTCCTTTTAAGTGTTTTTTCTCAAATGTTTATATACGAAGTGTACAAATATGTATATCAGAAGAAAGAGGGTTTAACCGCCTTTACAATGGTATCAATTGTTTAAAAATCGATTTGTATTTTTTTTGTTTAAAATATTTTTTCTTCAATTTTTATATACGAAGTATACAAATATGCATATCAGAAGAAAAGTTTAATTCCCTTTACACGATACTAATTGTTTAAAAATCGGTTAGTATTTTTTTTGTGAATATTTTTTTCTTATAAAAAAATTTATTTTTCCTTTAAATGAGTTTTTTTTTTTGAATTTTATACACGAAGTATACGAATACGCATATCAGAAGAAAGGGGATTTAACCATCTTTACAATCTTTACAACGACACCAAATTTTTAAAAATCGGTTACTAATTTTTTTGTTTAATTAATTAGCAATATTAAATTGTTAATATTTTTTTTATAAAAAAAGGAACTTTTTCATTTAAATGGTGTTTTTTCTAAAATTTTTATATACGAGGTATGCAAAAATGCATATCAGAAAAAAAGGAGGGAGGGGTAAATCACCTTTACAACGATCTAAATTTTTTAAAAATCTGTTTAAAATTGTTTGAAATATAAGGAAATTAATTTTTCGAGGACCTAAACTTTCACCCCTTATAGCACCTGTAATATAAGTTTTCACAAAAAAAGTTATACGCCATTTAAATAAGAGCAAAAGGAGGACCACGTCTATATTTTTAGGTTTTTAGTTATTTACATGCAATAATTAAATATAGTTTTTTTNATATACATATTTATGTATGAATGCACACTACGTATAATAGTGTATAGAAAATGTAAGGGCACGTGGCTTACCACTACACCACAGCGGCCGATTGTTATTTATAGTAAGGGAATTTAATAATTAAAAACTAATTCCACTTCCTTTCGATTCCATTCTCACTAGCTTGATTATCGAAGAGGTAGAATTATCAATGACTCTAAATTATCGGGCATTGGGTATAGTCGTTGAACTGAGTATGCAATCACAGGACTATACCCAAAACAGATTCTTCCTCCTCGTTCGTGCATTCTAGGCAAAGTGAGCAACCCGCCGTTTGCGAGATGCTGTAACCAATCCGAGTGGAGCCTTTGGTCACTTCAGAGAGAGAGGGAACTTTGCTGTGCCACTCCGACTTATTCGGTTTAAGGGCTCTCTTTAGTCTGCAGGCGTCTGATTACCAGTAGGTGTGGCTGCAGGATGGCGTCTGTATTGATACAAGCATCGCTTCCAGTGAAAAAGAAAAACAAAAGATTCAGAAATCAAAATCGTGTTTGAATATTTCAATGTCAAGTTGGGCAAGGAAGAGATCTTTGTCGCCACTATCGGAAACTTGAGCCTCCACACCGAAATGTCCGATAACGGACTGAGGCTGATCGACTTCGCCGGTCCCGAAACATGGTAGTATGCAATACTAGGATCAATCATAAAAAGGCCAATCCAGCTACTAGGCTGTGTCCAGATTCAGCCCCGAAAAGCCCAAATCGTTTATGTTGTGATAGACGTAAGGCATGCTTTAAGTGTTTTAGACGTATGTACGTACACTCCGAGGGTCAAATATCGCCTCGGAGCAATTTTTTGTTGCAGCTAAGGTACGCAACCGCATCTGTGCAGCAAAAAAATGTGCGTCCAACAATGCAAGGAAAACTCAACGTCGAAATGCTGCAGTCACAACAGGCAGCCAATGTATTCGCTACTCGACTCTCACACCTGCTCCCAGAGAGCACTCTTCAACAAACGGACATATGCGAGCAGTAGAACCACATTTCCCGCTCATTACATACCGTCGCTGAAGAGGAGAGACACCGAAGTACTTGAGCGCGAATAGCTTGGAATACTGGCGGACAGCCTACTCATCCTTTGTCTGGAGGTGAGTGGAGAAGAAACTGCTTGGACTCAACAGCAATCTGTGTTATCAGGGATGAAGTTGAATAAATAAATAAATTTTCAGCCAAGCACACAGAAGTCCTATCGCAGCATAATCCATATTGGTGTCTGCCTAAATTTTTACGACTGTCTCAATTTGTTATACATTTTCGATAAAGGGTCCACTCAGTGGCTGGAATATATGTTTGGGAGCAGTATGGACTTCTATAGTATTCTCTTGCCATTTTCCTACTATCGATGATCCGCAATACCGCTAGTAAATATGAATATGACAGCCAAACAACAAGTCAAAACTCATTAACATTCCAAATTAGTTTAGTAGGTTCACCGAGTCTCTGTCGAAGTATATGGCATATTAATTCCCGCTCTTATCAATCCGTTCAGGGAAATTGTAGGCGGTCGGCCCTACGTACTTTAAAATCAATCCTTTTCCAGTTGATGTCTTTATCACTTCCGACGTGAGAAGGTGACATCCAAAATACCCCTAATCCTAGGCTCAGCAAAGGAAGACGCTTCACATGTCTTCTTATTCGGGTAATACTGTCGGACTTTGATACTAACCCGGTCCTTGTGAATTCTTGTAGAGAAAGATGATCAGATTTGGGAAAACTGAAAGTGAGCTTTCAAAGCCTGACTGAGAAAGTCGGTCGCATATCGTGGTCTCATTTTAAGTCATCTTCCTTCAGTAGTTTACATTCATTGGAACAAACACATTTTTAATACTCGAATACACTTTTAAATAAGAAACTTATCTATCGTTAACTTAAGCAATACTGTTTTTTTCTTCTTTGTCTTTCTTCCACATTCGGGCAAACAGACGAAGGTATTTCGTGGGCTACCTTTCCGCAGATCCCTTACTTGCTTGAATTGGACATCGGCAACTGCAACATACAGTTGATTGCAGGTGAAGTATTCCAGAACATCACCGGGCTCCGCAAGCTTTTCATGCCGCACAATAAAATGCTCGACATTCCATCTGACACCTTTCAACTGCTACCCCATCTGGAGTATCTTGATTTATCCTTCACTAATTTATTGGAAATCGACTATAGGACAACACATCCCACACTCAATGCTGTGTGGCATCTCGTTTATGGTGTTAAAATACATAAAGACACTTTCAAGAATCTAAATAATCTCGCGTATCTCGATTTGTCGCATACGAAGGTAACACGCAACAGCGCCATGGCATTTACGTATCTCGGCCAGAGTCTGAAATTCATGAGTTTATGTTATACATCCTTTCCCATGGTTGGCAATGCGTTTTTCAAAAATACCGGTCTTGTGGGTCTTGACCTATCCGGTAATCCCTATGCGGCGTTCAATTTCATCGATGATGCCTTTGAAGGTATTGCGGATAGCTTGGAATATTTATTCTTTGAGCAATCAAATTTAAAAGACTTGGATTGGTTGAGGCCCATGGAAAAGTTGTGTATTCTTGATTTGGCCGGCAATAACATCAATTCGTTATCAGCCGATGATTTTGCAGCGCTGGAAAATTTGCATGCGCTCGATCTGAGCTCAAATAACATTGGCAACTGGTACAATCAGGTATTTGCTAACAACACCGATCTCCGTTTGCTAAATCTACACAACAACAATATCAACCAGATCAATTATGAAATGTTTAAGGACTTCAAGCACCTTGACTACCTCAGCCTAGGCGAAAATAATTTCTTATGCGATTGCCTGCTGCATGATTTAGTAGCAGTTGCTGAGATCAACAACAAGAAGGCTGAATGTGCGCGCGCTTTACTTAAGGAAAAAGAAAAATTTCCAATTAACGACACGCAATTTGGATCAATGATACCATCAATCCTAATGCAGCAATATACCAAGAATTTAGAAAAAAGCTCTGCAAATATACGCAAATACAAAATGGGTCGACGTACAACGCCAAGTGTGCGCGCTCTAGGGCGTAAGACTTATTCAATCCTCCGCTCAAATGCTCAAGAAATGGACGAATGCGACATGATATGGTCAAATTCTTACGGGAGTGGGCAAATAAATGACTCAATGTTTGAATTCCAATTAATTGACTATGCAGAGGATCAATATTGGTGCTTTAATGGCACCACTCGTACGCAATTAATGCAACTCAATTGTCAGTCTGCGCTAATTGGCGGCATAGCAGGCGATATAAATAAATTAACACAAATTCTTATTGGTATCATTTGTACGCTGTTGGGCGTAACCTTGCTGATCGTGATTGTATATCTTAAGCGCTGGCACATATACTACTACTATTCATCGTTGAAATCGGCAGCGCTGTTATCTGTGGCTACCAAGAAACAGGTAAAACAATTTAACGAATTGGCCGAAAGCGACCCCAACATGGTATATGACATTTTCATTAGTTACTGTGAGAGCGATCGCGATTGGGTGCTGGAAGAATTGCTACCGAACGTAGAGGAGGCGGGTAATATATCGATATGTTTGCACGAACGTGATTTTCAGGTGAGCTGAAGTGATTAAGGGAAATTCAAATTAAATTACACATATAAAATTTATATGACTTAACCCTTTCAGGACCAAGGGAAACATTTTTCCCAAAAGGGGGTTTTCCGCTCATAAGGAAATTGTGTGAAGTTGAAATTTTCGTATCTTCGTAAAAATTTTTAGTAAATTTTTTTATCATAAAATTTTAGAAACAAAAATATTTTCCAAAAGGAAAAATTTAGTTAAAAAAAACGATTTTCAGAAAAAAAATATTTTTAAAAGAAAAGTAAATATTTTAGAAAAAAATAGAAAATGAGCGATTTTTAAGAAAAAAATTATATATAATTAGAAACACAGTTTTTAAACGCACAATTCAAATGAAAGTATTTGTTGGAAAAAATATTTTTATGGTATGCATCGGCATACTTAACTTAAGAAAGTATTAGTTTCCAAGCGAAATCATTTGATAGCAAAATTTATGAGGAAATTTAATTTAAAAAAAAATAAAATTTTTACTCATATTCAACAATTTTAGGGAGCTTTTTTATGGCTGTCTTTTATGAAAAAATATTGGGTTAGAATCAACAATAATTTACAAAGATAGAAGTAGCTGCTATTTCGTAGGTCACCAAATTTCCTCATTAGACTTCTTCAACCGCGGTCACTGCGATTGAACTAGCGACTTTGGATTACAAAGTCAGTGGTCTACCCACTGAGCTAAGCTCGCCACGTAAACTGTTCATGCTTTTTCCACTTTTTCATATGTCAACCCAACTACAATCAAGGACAATTATTCTGCTCTCAATTCGATACTAATTCCAATTCAGAAAGGGTTAAAATAAATTAACTTAAACTAAACTAATTTAAATAAAAGAAGATAAAATAAAACGTAAAATGTTTGTTACAAATAGAATCATGCTTCATACTTTTCATTCTCTTTCCAGATCGGAGTCGCCATACTCGAAAACATCATATCCTGTATGGATCGCTCGCGTGCTCTAATGCTAATTATATCCTCAAATTTTTTGCTCAGTCACTGGTGTCAATTCGAAATGCATTTAGCACAACATCGGTGAGTTTTTTTTTAATCACCCCCTTTCTAGCTCAGTTTAAACTCCCATTTCACATATTTTCTCTTCACAGCATTTTCGAGGTGAGCAAAGAACATCTAATAATCGTCTTTCTCGAGGATATACCACGAGCCAAGCGTCCGAAGACACTACAATACCTTATGGAAGTGAAAACATATGTTAAATGGCCCGGCGCCAAGGGTCATGAAATCAGTCCGGAACAGCGTAAATATTTTTGGAAACGTTTGAGGCACTCATTGGAACCCATTGGTACTTCCCATGCAGAGTCGCTTAAATAACTGGGAATTGGATTACAAAGCTGCTGAAACTGCCTGTTTATTAATAAAATCAATAATAAAAAATTTACTAAAAAAAGTTAAATAAACTAGGGTTAGAAAACGGCTCAATTAATAAAAAGATTATCATTGCAAAGCTAAACACTTGTACCTGATAGCAGTTATTTTTATGTATTAATGGTTGCATACATACCTTTTTTGATATTTTTATAAATGTATACATAGTTAAATTGTAGTAATATGTAAGCAAAAAGTAGTGAATTATAAGAAGAAAATAACATAAGATGTTACGGAAATGTCTTTGATTTATTAAGAAATTTATTATATGTAAACTGTTCGGATTTTATAGCATGCATGCATCTACACTAACGCGCTAACGAATGACCAGGTTGAGATTACGACGGAATAGGAAATTTTAAAAATAGTTTGAAATGCATTTTTTAAGAGAATTTCTAGTTCTGATTTTAATTATTTGCAAATTTCCATACCGTTTAATTTCTAACTGACTTAAATTATTTACAAAAATATTAAATTGGTTTGTCGTTAATAAATCTTCGATATATCTTCATATTGTACTTTATCCACAACACGTCCTTTGAGAGGACCACGCGCGATCTCTATAGTAACGCAGTAGTTGCGTTCATCCAAGCTCTTTAATATCGCTTCGCATCCACGATAGGCTCCATTCAATACCAATATGGGCTTATCCAACGCTGGTATGACAGTTTCCAAATGCGCCTGATCTACTTTTAGTTTATCACCTGTGTCTAAAAACTTGATTTTCGCACGATATTTTTCGATAACCTCCTGCACCACCGCCTTTTGTTTGTAGAATTTCTCACCCATTGCTTTGTCGATGAATTTTACAACTATGCCCGTGTGTAACCAATAGTCTTTACGATTTGCACGCTCTTTTTTCGCTTCCTCTTCCTTGATTAGTTCATCCAGTGCTGATTTTTTACCGTTTCTATGACTTTCTTTCAGTTTATTCACCTTAGGCGCTTTCGGTTTCTTAAATACTTTTTCCTCCACTTCAGAGTCATCATCTTCCGCTGAGTTTTCCTCATCACGTGTCTCAAGCTTAGGGCGCTTTAGTATTAACGCAGATGGCCCTAACTTGGTATCTGGATTGAACTTCCTTTCCAATCTTATATCCAACTTTAATGGCTGCTCTTCGTCACGCTTGAGTTCAGTGTATTTCTCCGCTTCATCCGTTTGTGCACCCTCTTTAGCTTTGTTCTTTTCTATTTGCTTTTCAATAAATTCCATCATACGTTCCTCATCATCCTTCTCCATTTTCTCTTTCTTTTCGGCCTTTGCCTGCCGTTCCAATGCGTCTGGACTACGATCGATGTATGTGACGTACCAACCCTTTTCGGTTTCGTCAGCCACCACTTGGCCAGTACGACCAAGCCATTTAACATAGTCTGATAATGTAAGCCAACGTGTGGCGTTCATGTGTATGTGATCTTTTACAGAAATATATTCCTGGTAAACTTTGTTCGCATTGACGCGCTTGGTGCCAAAGCGTCGTCGCAGCAATTCCATATAGCCGTCTGAAAATTCTTTAGAGAAGCTATGTAAGAATTTTCCTGGTGAATCGGCGAACAGCAGCAATTGTCGCTGATGGGATTCACTCATGGTGTGGCACTTGAAGCCATTTTCGTCACGGCATTGCTTCTCACACATTTGGCAATACCAGCGGAGCTTCTGTAGACCTTTCGCCTTCATCTTATTGGCGAGGTACTTGGGCGTACCAACTTCAGCGCGGCCCATGCTGTGGATATGAGGTGTGTCTCTGATGTGTATTAAATGTAATTATTTTAATTAATTAAACGTTTATTGGATGCACAATAAATTAAAGTGCAGTTGAAGAATCGTCCTAAAGTAAATAGTAAACAGAGAAGCGAAATGTCAAAGCCAACAGCTGATTATAGCAATGCAGGGTTGCATTGAGTGTTCTGACCAAGGCCCTGTCAGTTGAATTATAAAGCAAGCCATAAACGTTGCGACCGTCGATTCAACTTGATGATGTTGTGCTCTAGTTTGCAACGTGTGTGGGCTAGTTGGATTTTACATAAATCACAAAAAATGATAATCCATCATCATATTTTTATCATTATTATGTGATGATTCCGTCGTGAAATATTTATTATATCCAAATTTGGTATAATAATAATAATAATAATAATAGATTGGCACTTACACATATGTTAGTCATTGGCCGAGCTTCTCCTCCGAATTGTAGGGTGCGCCTTGATGTTGTCACACAAAAGGGAGGGGCCTACAGTTTTATGCCGACTCCGAACAGCGATTGTAATTTTATGAGAAGCTGTTTTTCGTGGCAGAAATACACTCGCAGGTTTGCCACTGCCTGCCGAGGGGCGCCCGCTGTAAAGTGCGGAGTGGAATCGCTTACCACTACCACACAGCGGCCGCAAATTTGGTATAGTTTAATATAATTCCATATACACATACATACATACTTATGTAATTTTTGATGCTGTTTTTTTTTACTTTTTTCAAAGATTGGTATAATGGGGCTTTCGCATGGGCGATTTTTCAGGCAACTTTTGCCCTCAACTCAGGCGGGGTTGCACGAAAAAAAAATTGAATGGCTAAAAATATCAAAATATAAGAGAATATCAAAATATTCGCCATAAAAAGGCGTTTGCATTGTTCAACTTCGCATTCTACTTTTGGTTGTACGGCCCCTCAACTAATCTCTTTCAACAAAGTTGGTCGCCAGGCAACATTTAGCCATTCAATTTTTTTTTCGTGCAACCCTGCGTGAGTGATGACAAATTTTCGGCTGATTTTTTTTCAGGCGAAACTCAGGATAAGGCATGGATGACAACGCAACCGCAATTGGGTTGCCGATGGGCAACGACACTGAAATGAAAATGTATATTATGAATAGCAACTATATACTAAGCTTATACGCACGTATTATTTGCAAATAACAATTTGAAAAATGGTAAACTTTGCCGTATAAATCCCGAGTTAATTTTTTATTTGCAAATAACTAAATCACGCAAATAAGTATTGATTAGTGGTACTATTTGCAATTAAGCGCAAGACGCCGCCATTTTTAAGTTTATTTTTTTTCGATGGTCATCTTATTGCCTTTTTATAATCAAGACGTTGCTATTTTTAACTTTATTTTCTTTTTCGATGGTCATATTATTGCCTTTTTATAATCAGGTAATATTAAAAAAGAATTTTTCACCATCGAATAAAAAACGAGTTAAACGTATAAACGTAGTAATAGGTAAGTTCTGTAAAGTTGAAGGTAATAGAATTTTTTAGGAACCAGCAACTAAGACTTGAGTGTAAATGCATAAGCTAGAGAAACAGTTGAAAAACGAAATAAATTATCTCAATCAAAATTTCTGCGGCTACCACCAAAATGCAGTTGCCAATATAGCAACTTAGTTGCCAGCTTTCAGTTGTCAGTTGCCATCTGCAATACAATTTCAGTCACTGGCCACACAACTGAAGTTTGGTTGCAATCCGTAATTGACCCGCGATTCGGGCCCTGGTTTGCATCAGGACATCCATACATCGAAAATATATGAATAGTCCTAGCACTTCGGCAGAAAAAGACAAACCTCCATGTGTAATTCTACCATGAAAAAGCTTCTCACATCGTTCGTTTGAGTCATGCAACTCCATTAGTGCATTATTCCCCCCCCCACCAGTCTAACTTTGATTAAAATATCACTACCACTAAAGTGTCGAACGGAACTAGACGCCTACGCACAAAGTGATAAAACAAACTTTGGCAAACATTTAAAAATAAAGCAATTGAACAACAACTTGAGGGCTTTTTGTTTTTGAAACTTTATTAGCCGTTAAATTCTTGTTTATTTTCTTGATTCCTCATGTGGGTGTTGGGAGCAGTTCTTTTTATTTTACATGTTTTTTGCCTTTTTCAATTATGTATATTTTTATATTGTTTTGTATACGTGTATATAAATTATCATCCAAGTTTACTTATTTTTGTTAACAAACATACTTCTTCGCAAATTTAGTTGTGTTTGTTAATTTGTGTTTGCTTCCATATTTTCCTTTTCCATTTTTTTCAAACTAAATTAACGACGCTGTTAGGCGTAAAAATGCTTTACCGTCAACGAAGACACGGCGATGACTGCTTTGCAGACAGAAACAGACAGACAGGTAAACGAGCAGAATAGTGACGCGCGTGTAATGAGCTCATCCTTTGAGAAACGACGAATGCAAGATGAACGTTGGTTAGCCGGGGATGTTGGCAAACGAATCTGTTTTATCACTTCGAATATTACGCTTTTTTGGAAAAGTGAATTTGGATTTTTTAGCCATTTTCGCAGTGTGATGCTGAATATTTACTTAGCTGGAATTGTTCGTTCGCAATCTACTTCCATTTGAGGTATTGCTTTGCTTAAGTCTTCTGAATTTTGGAAATTTGTTATTCTTAGTTATAATTTAAGTTTTATGCTAGTCAACAATTATCTTAACACCAACAATTCGATGAATATTCGCGCGACTTTTCACTGCTGTGATGCCAGCAGAGTTCCTTTTGCCTTGGAAGTGTGGTTTTTTACTTGATTCGATTTTGAATTTAAATACATGTATTATTTCATAATTTTTGCAAATGGAAGAGAAAATTTTTTTAAAGTATAAAAAAAAACAAAAAAAAATTGTCTAATATTCATCTATGTCGTAGTACTCATTGTCAACTTCGTCGAGCTGCATACTCTGGAAGTCCACTTTGTAGCGCAAAATGCCTGGAGGAGGAAGAAAAGAAAGAGGAAAACAAATAGCACATATCAGTAATATATTTGCAGGGCATTATAAAAATGAATGATCTAAATTAAAAATGATAAACTAATTTTTTTTTAATACCAAATTAAACATAAAAAACTGGACTGTGAAGTTAATTAAAACAGATAGATTATAGATTGTTTAACCCGCAGAAAAGATTTCCTTTTTTTGTTGATCTGCAATACAATTTTATAGCTTTTTCTTCAAATTTACAATAATTTAACAACACAGCCCACAGAAATACAGTTACACAAAGAAATGGCATTTTACATACATATGTAGTATCCATAAATAAATGATTTTCTTAGAAACAAAAAACAAAATCCACTAGTAAAAAAAAACAAATACAAAACAAAGAACTCAAAAAC